CCCTTTTTTTAAATAATTTTTTAAATATTTTTTTTCCGGAGCTGAGGACCGAACCCAGGGCTTTGCGCTTGCTCTACCACTGAGCTAAACCCTAACCCCATAAATTTTTTACATTATTATTTATGTGTATGGGTGCTTTGCCTGAATGAAAATATTTTCCAAGTGTGAACAGTACCCATGGAGACCAGAAGAAGGTGCTAGATCCTCCTGACATACATACAGATGGTTGTGGGTGCTGGGAACTGAACCTATGTCCTCTAGAAGAGCAGCCAGTGCTTAAGCCCAGAGCCACCTCTCTGCATACACGCAGCCCTTTAATCCTGTTTTCATTTTTGAAACAGTGTCTCACTGTGCAGCCCTGCCCGGCTGGAACTCCCTGTATAGACCAGGTTGGCTTAGATTAAAGGTGTGTATAGCTACACCCAGATATTGCTTTAGTTTTACCCCACCCCCACCCCAATACTCTCCTGTATCCCAGGCTGGCCTTGAATTCACTAGCCAATGACGCTCCTGAACTTCTGCCCCTCCTGTTTCCGCCCCTCAAGTGATGGGATGACGGGCATGTGGCCCTGCACCAGTGCCTTTAATCCTGGCACTCAGGAGGCAGAGGTAGACAGGTCTCTGTGAGTTCAAGACTGGCCAGGACTATATAGTATGACCCTGTGTGAAAAATGAAGAGTCTGGAGAGACGGCTCAGTGATCGAGAGACATGCCGCTTTTATTGAGGACCTCACTAGGGCTTTGTGCGAGCCAGGCAGGCCCTCTGCCCACTGAGTCACACCCCCAGCCCCGCTCTTTAGTTTTCGGAGGCAGGGTCTCTCTGGCAGTCCAGCCTCAGAGCCCCACAGGTTCAGGTCACTGCACACAGCTAAGACTCGCCTGCCTGTGCTGTTTACAGCTTGCTTTCTCTCCCTTCAGTCTCGGTCCCCCCAGGGGCCCCAGTGACAGCTCCTGTAAGTGAGCTCTGCCCTGGGGAGGGAGAGCCAGCTGTAAATGGTCTCTTCTTCCTGTTCCCTCCAGGGGATTTCGAAGGAGGGGTCCCCTATCGAATTACAGTGACTGCGGTCTTCCCAGAGGGCTTAGCTGCCGCACCCTCAGTTTGGGGATTCTCGGAGGAGTTAGGTAAGAAGTGTCACTTAGGGTGCGGCTGGGTCTCAGGGAACTGCACGAGGTGCTGACACACTGGGTTTCTTCACAGCACCCCTTGCTGGGCCAGCAGTTTGGCGACTCCAGGATGACCCCTCAGGGACACCTGCTGTGGCATGGGGAGAGGTACCAAGACACAAGCTCCGAGGCAAGGTCGCTCACTATACCTTGTGCATGCAGGGCAGAGATCTCCCCACCGTCTGCATGAATGGTGAGCTTCCTGCCTCCTCTTCCTTCCTCTATCCCCAAGATCCGCCTGTCATCTACCCTGTCCCTACCTTCTCCGCACCTGGGAATTCTGTCACCAAGTTCCCAGAGGACAATAACAGTCTTGGCTACTGCTGAAAGGCTTACCAAGACATTAAAGGTGAAGGCTCCAGTGTGTCTTCGCTGACAGTGATGGATACCTGTCATATTTCATTAAGTGAAAAGTATAAAAAGGATCACAGGTTCTGAGATGGCTTTGTTTTTAATAAAAGGGCCCAGCACTGAGCAAAGCCAAGGCTCAAATATGCCAAGAGAAATTTCTCTCAGTGTTAACAGGGCTTGTAGGATTGCTTGTGATTTTTATTTCCTTCTGCTACCCCTGAGATATTTTACTGTAATAACAAATTCCTGGGGCTGGAGAGAGGTTCAACAGTTAAGAGTTCTGACTGCTCTTGCAGAGGTCCTGGGTTCGGTTCCCAGCACCTACACAGCAGCAGTCTCTGTCCTCCAGTCTCAGAGGCCCTGGTGCCCTCTTCAGGTCTCCATGGGTACTGCATGCATGCAGTGCACAGACAGATATTCAGGCTAAACACCCGTACCCATAAGAAAAAAAAATCTAAAAGAACAGATTCCTTTTTAAAAGTATTGTTATTGGCTTGGGGCAGTGCCTCAGCATAGAGCTCCTGTCTAGAATGCCCAGTGAGGGTCTGGAGTGTGGCTCAGCAGTAGACCAAGTGTTCAGCATGTACAAGGCCCGTGGTTTTATCCCCACCATTGAAGAAACAAAACCTTTATTCTTTTCTTCCTAACCATAAAAGTTGTCTGAACTTGTTACAAAATCTGCCTCTCAGGCCTGTGAAATGGCTCACCAAATTAATACTCCTGCCATTGAGTCTGATGACCTGAGTTCAATTCCCGGGACACACATGGTTAAAGGAGGGAACCAACTCCCACGTGACCTCCACGTTTATGCCATCACACACAGAGACTGAGTAAATAGTAACTGAGTCACCATGGGGACACTCCAGGGACATCAGCACCCCCTCCTGCTCCCCATTCAGAAGGTGCAGCTTTCTCGAATACTGTGCACACGAGGTTACAGTAGGTTTGGGAAACTTGAATTTTTGTTTGTTGAGACAGGGTCTCTCTTGATCTCAACCCGACCTGGAAATTGCGTTCTGAGAAACTGGAATGACAGGCGCACACTACCGTGCCCTTGACAGTGACAGGCACACACTACCGTGCCCCTGACAGTGACAGGCACACACTGCCGTGCCCTTGACAATTCCCTTCCCTCCTCAGGGCTGGGGTTCAAATTCAGGGCCTTGTGCATGGGGGGCATCACTCAGGCAGCTGACTCCCCAGTGGGAGATTCACAGGCACAGACAACTGACCTAGCATCTAATCAGCCACATGGCTATTAGAGCTGTGCACAAAATGAGGGTCCATTTTAAATGAGGGGTCAGAAAATTGGTTAAGGAAGTGTGACACTGGACAAAATTTACAGACCAGGAGCTATGAGATGGCCCCTACCACGAAGTCCAAGACTCCTATGGTGGAATGGGCGGTGAGAAATGACCCCTGACCTCCCCATGTGTGCCATGGCAATGCTTATGGACAAGCGCCCCAGAAAATAGTGTCACATAAATAAATAAAGAAGACGGAGACAGAGCCACGTGGAAAGTCGCACAGAGGAAGGGGTATGTGCAAAGGCCCCAGGGCATGACTACTGCCCCCCCAACTCCTCTGCTCCTGTCCTTCAGTGAGCTGTAATACCCAGACGGTCACTCTGCCCAGCCTTCACTGGGGTTCCTTCGAGCTGTGGGTGACGGTGTCCACCATCGCAGGGCAGGGCCCACCGGGTCCCAGCCTTTGGCTGCACCTACCAGGTATGAGGTGGGGATGGGGCTGCCTGCCGACTCCGGGCTGGGGGTGTCTTGAAGTCCTAATGTGGGTTTCAGTGGTGGAGAGCCTTCTAATGGAGAGGATGTGTATAGGATAGTACTGAGGATAGAACCCAGGACCACACCCCAAGTCTGCCTCAGGACACTTTGCTTCTTCTAAATGCTGTTGTATTAGCCAGCAGTTTACATCTGGAACAGCGTCTCCCCGACCCTGCCCATGCCTGTCAGCACATCCTATGCCCCTTCTTCATGATGGCTGCCCCTTCAGCCCCGCCCATGTCCAGACCCCTTGTTCAAGATGGCCCTACCTATTCTCCCCACCCACAGATAATGGGGTCATGTGGAAGATTCTGCCTTGGGTCCTGTCCCTGTGGGGCTTGATCCTGATGGGCTGCGGCCTGGGCCTGGCTACCACCAGGTAAGACCGTCGGATATGGGACCCCTACCCTGGTGGGGGTTCAGCAGCTAGGCCCTGGATGGGTGGCCTTGGGGCTCAGGAAGTTCATGTTTGCCACTGGGTCCCTGCTGGCCAGGTGCCCCCGCCAGCGACACAAGTTGATTCCCCAGTGGATCTGGGAGAGGGTTCCTGACCCTGCCAACAGCAATTCCGGCCAGCCTTACATAAAGGTGAGAAAATGCTAACTGGGGGAGCACCACTCTCCAATTGGAGGATGCTGGGGCAGGTGGGAGGGGAGGACTACTGAGTTCCCGGCCTCCGTCTCCCCAGGAGGTGAGCCTGCCCCAGCCACCCAAGGACGGACCCATCCTGGAAGTGGAGGAAATGGAGCTAGAGCCCATCATTGAGTCCCCTCCAGCCTCTGCCCCGCTTCACTCTGGGTATGAGAAACACTTCCTACCCACACCAGAGGAGCTGGGCCTTGGGCCTCCAGCCCCCAGGTTCTAGCCTGTGTTCCTATCTTGGGTTAGACTTTATTTTTAGTTTTTTGAGGCAGGATCTCACTACGTAGCCTTGGCTGGCCTGGAACTCACAGAGATTCACCTGGTTCTGCCTCCCAAGAACGGAAACTAAAGGCGGTGCCGCCATGCCCAACCGACTCTGTTTTCTAGCTTCGGCACCATTGACGTCTTTTTGTTCTGTGGAAGAATTAATATTCTCATTGGCCCAACTCTTTTGTTGTTTTCTTTACTGTGTCAGAGTCTTGGTCTCAAACCTGTGATCCCCCTGTCGCAGCATCCCGGTGCTGGGATCACAGGTGTGTGTCATCTCACGCAGCCACAGCCTTTGATGCTAGGAAGATCGACTTGGGAGCAGCAAACCAGGAGGGGATTCCACGTCAAAGGGCACATTCCAGGGGCTGGGGAGACGGCTGAGCAGTTAGGAGCCCTTGTTTGCACGCAGAAGACCACAGCCCGGTTCCCTGCCCTTGCAGAGGACCCAGGTTCAGTTCCCAGCGCCCACAGGGTAGCTCAGAATCACCTACAACTCATTCTAGGGAACCCAATGCCCTCTTGTGGCCTTAGTGAGCACTGCACACACATGGTTACTCAGACCGAGGCAAAACACTCACATAATATAAAAATAAATAAATAAGCCAGGCAGTGGTGGCGCATGCCTTTAATCCCAGCAATTGGGAGGCAGAAGCAGATGGATCTCTGAGTTCAAGGCTAGCCTGGTCTACAGAGTGAGTTCCAGGACAGCTAGGGCTACACAAAGAAACCCTGCCTTGAAAAACAAAAACAAAAACCAAACCAAACCAAAAAAAAAACGACACACAGTCAGACTGCCAGATTGCCTTAACATTTAATTTTCAAGTATAAAGGCTTCATTGCAGAAGGGAGTCAGGGCCACGGGCAGTGGGCAGGGAATCTAAAAGCCCAGGTGTGGATAAACACAGGACCTGCTGGCTCCTGGGTGCCACTGCCAGTCCTGTGGTACCCTGTCTGTGCCTGGGACCTTCTGCTGGATGCCAGGCAGCGAGGTAGCTGTGAGAGGAAAAGGATGCTGGGCGGCCGGTGTCGGCTCACATGACCACACAACACTGGCACGTCTTTTGCTTGGGGCCACCAGCCTCTTTGGCCTCAGCTACCTCAAGCTGCCGGGCAGGTGCATAGGTAGGTGCAGGGTGGTCACCAGGGTTGGTGCTGGACACCTCCTGATGGAGCAGTGGCTGGCCTTCCACAGGCTGCTCCGGGGCTGGGGTCTCTGACAAGAGCGGGGTGGCATCGCCGGGAGGACCCTCACTCTCAGCACAGCGCTGAGGCTCCCTGGCTGTCTCTTCCACTGGTCCTTCTTGCTTCTCCAGGCTCTGCAGTCCTTGCTCCTCTGACGTGGGCTCCTCCTGGACACAAAGAGGGGTCCCTGGCTGGCTGGCGTCCTCCACCCGAAACTCTGCTCCTTCATTGGATTTGCCTTGCTCTCCCGGACTCACCTCCTCCTTGGTGCCTGGGGTCTTCTCTGCCTCTGCTGATGGTTCACCGCCTCCTGGCTCTCCTTCCAATAGTTTCTCGCTTCCTTTAGTTTCTTCATCCAATGAGTTCTCGCCTCCTGGCTCTCCTTCCAATGGTTTCTCGCTTCCTTTAGTTTCTTCATCCAATGAGCTCTCACCTCCTGGCTCTCCTTCCAATAGTTTCTCGCTTGTTTTTGACTCTCTGTCCAATGAGCTTCCGCCGTCCCTCTCCTCCTCTGGTGGCTCCAGTGGACCCTCTGTGTTTTTCTCTGCCACCAGTGGCTTCTCCGTGGTGTCTGGCTCTTCCTCACCTCCTGTTTTCACTTCCAGTGGCTCTTCACCCTCCTTCCCTTTCACGGCCCACTGTTCCTCCTCTGTTGCTCTCTCTGCCCGCAAAGGGCCCTGGCTGCCTTCCCCCGCCTCCTCTTCTGCCTGGCTCTCCTCTCTTCCCTGGGCGGGCTCTGGCACCTCAGGGGCCCCACCCCGCTCTACCCCGAGCTTTTCTGCCGTTGGCCTTTCTTCCATGCCCTCTGATCTCTCCACTTCTCTCCTCTCCACCTCCCAGGACGCTTCACTCCCTCTGGTCTGTGCTCCCATCAAAGCCTCGGGTCCTCCCACACAGCCCGCCCCTGGGGGTGCTTCCAAGCCCTCCATCAAGAGCTCCTCCCAGTCTTCACTGAGGGCTACTCTCTCCACCCAAATGAAGGACCCTTCCTCTCCTCCAGGGTCCCCCTGCCCGGCACCCTCAGGACTGTCTCTAGAAGCACCTTCCTCTTTCCTGGAAATTTCCGCCTCAACCTGCTCCTGGAGCCTTGGGGGACTGATTTGTGCGGCCTCTGCATGACTCCTGCCTGACTCCCCTGTGACATCGGGATCACTGCCTCCCAGCCCCTCCCAGACCACCTCCACCACACCCCTGCCCTCCTTCACCCAAGTGGGGAGCTCAGGGCTGCTGGTGCCCTGCCTAGCCCCGATGGCCTCGAGGACCACCTCTTCCACCTTAGCCTCCAGCTCCATGCCCGTGGGGTCTGTGGCACTGTTCTCAGTGGCCCGAAGCCCATCCCAATCCACCTCTACCACCCCATCTCCTTTGGCCTTAGTGACACTCGCCGCCCCTCGGCTCAGCTGCTCTGGGAGGGGGCTATGCTCCGGGCAGGGGCCGTTGGCTTCTGAAGAGGCCCCTGTGGCCTCAGGGGATGGCCTCAAGGCTGGCAGAACCTCAGTGAGCTCCTCCCTGGGATCAGAGGAGGACTCAGGGGACATGCCCACCGGACCAGCTGGCAGGGAAGTTCTCTTGTCCACATCAGTGAGGCCTGGGGGAACCAAAGGAGGGAAGGGCAGGGAGGTCAGGACGATGCGGGACGAAGAGGACCCTCACCCCAGATTCTTTTGGGTCAAGTGAACTGTACCCCAGACCTTGGATTCCAATACTTGCCTGCAGGACCTGCCTCCATGGTGGGCTGAGAGAGAGGACGAGGCCCCTGCAAATGGAATAGAGACAAGGTCAAACGGGCCCTGGTTTCTGCCACCCAGGCATGTTTGTACTCTACCTGCTTAACCAATACTATGTTAACGCTTCCTTGGCCAGCTTCTGAGGTCGTCCTAGACAAAGGATTTGGGGAGAGGGAGGAAGTGCTGGTATAGAATCAGGGCCTTGGCGCACACAAGGTCAGTGTAGTACAGCTGAGCCATATCCCCAGCCTGAAGAGACCTGATGCAATCAGACGGGAAGAGGGAAGTGATAAACAGAACAACCAATAAATACACAGTGTTTGCACATTGGAAGGGGAGAGAAAGAAGCAGCGATGGGAAGAAGCCGGGAGAGGTGGGGGGGGGGGGTGTGTGGGAGGTGTGGGGGGTTCCAGTGTTTCGTGTAGAGACAAGCCTGGGCGTGGCTTCTGGAGGTGTGCGGGGTGGGGTATGCTCTGTCCAGAGTGCTGAGTTGGAGACCGTTGTTCCAGGCTAAGGAACAGGAACAGCACTGCCCGTGATCTAGACACGGAAAAAGGGAATAGGAAAGAGACAGTGTGACAACATGGAGTGACAGGGAGAGATGAAGAAAGGCCAGGGGCAGCTGCACACATCTGCACAAACTCCCTTTGTGGTCAAGGCATGGAGGTGGACGCCTGTAATCCTGCCACTGGCAAAGCTGAAGCAGGAAGACAGTGAGTTCTAAATTATAATTTCACTGGCCCCTCCTAAAGGCACTTCTGAGTTGGTGTTCCCGTTTTAGGGATAAAGAAACTAAGGTCTAGACAAGAAAAACCAACCTGCACCAGAACACAGCAAAGTAACACTGGGTTTGACTGCACACCAAGGCAGAGGCTGCCTCTGAGAGAGCACACCTCTGCGGAGTCCCGGTCTAACGCTGCTGACCACACCCCCCTCTCCACCCCTCCCAGCCCCTGCTCACCTCTCTGCGCCAGGAGGGCCTGCCAGCAGGTCTGTGTTGGGCACCTGTGGACGCACTTTGCAACAGCTGCAGCTGTGACTGGAGTCTGAGGAAGAGAGGGGGCTGCTGGAAGCGGGCCGGACTAAACCTGCTCCATTTCTGGGGGCTGTCAAAGGCTGGGGCATGGCTCAAAAGCAGGCATTCCCGACTCACGAAAACAAGCTGTCTTCCAGGTTACGAATTCGAGCCTGGGCCTGTCCCTCAGGCGACTGTGGGTCCTTGGAGGCCAGGTCCTCTGGCCGCTCTGGCCCTTCAGCCGCGCCATCCATGAGCCAACGTTCTCGAAGAGATTTCCTCTGGACATGGGAAGAGAGTCCGGAGCTAGCCACGGGAAGCCTGCCTCCCCACCCATTGCTTGCAAACGCCCAGAGGGCACATCCATCAGGCTGGGAGACATGCCCATATCTGGTCCCCCAACACCATGCAAGCAAGCATCCTTCCCAAGCAGAGGCGTACAACCATCATCCTTCCAGCCTGCTCAGTCCACTGGTCCTGCCAAGCCAGAAAGACCTCCCAATGCGCCCCTCTCCACGCCAGCGTTGGCCTAAGTCTCCTCCATCACCGCCAAACCGGGAGAAGCCCTCCACCTTCCCCACACTCTTCCAGAGTGGGGCGGCTGTCTCCATGGCTACCTTTCGCCCGCCTCCTCTCCATCTCCCCCTCCCCAAATTGGACAGAGGTTCCTATTGTCTCTCAGCCGGCCTCACAAAGATAACCCCACTTCACCGCCGGGGCTGGACGGGAGTCGCCAACCTTGAGCCGCTCCACGCGGAGTTTCTCCTCCTCCAGCTCGCGACGCGCAGCGCCGATCTCCTCCTGCAGCCGCCGCTTCTCCTGCGCACACACGACCCAGAGCTGCGGGCGGGCCCGGTGCCGCCCTTCGCCCGCCTCCTCGGGGCTCCCGGGACTCCCGGGGCGTCCTCCCGCGGGCGGGGGCCGCAGAGCGCTGACTCAGCAGCGGGAGGGGCGGGGCGGGGCGGGGCGGGACCGGGCGGCCGCGCCCTGATGCTGCGGAGGCCGGGCGCACGCCCAATGGTGGTCCAAAGATGGGGGCGGGGCGGGGCTTAGGAATGGGGACTAGGGTTTCGGGCTCTGGGATGGGGAGGATGGCCAGACGAGGGGCACACCTTTGTAGCCCCAAGACTCAGGAGGCAGGAGTAGGATGGTCTCCCTGAGTTCCGTGCCCGCCTGGACTACAAAGGGAGCAGTAACTTGGAGGCTACTTTGGGCCACAGAGACCCTGCGACAATAAATTCTTTAAAAGGAGGGTGAAAGGGTTCAAAGACATGTGGGTCTAGATGTAGGGAACGTGCTAGTGAGATGGAGGTCAAAATGGGGGTGCAGGGGTAGACATCCAGAGAGACTCAGGCGTAGATAGAGGTGGGAGCAGAGAGAGGGTACAAAGATGGAAATGCGGGGTGCATGTTGTGTTCAGAGACATGAACGACAGCCGGCGGTGGTGGCGCACGCCTTTAATCCCAGCACTCGGGAGGCAGAGGCAGGCGGATCTTTGTGAGTTCGAGGCCAGCCTGGTCTCCAAAGTGAGTTCCAGGAAAGGCGCAAAGCTACACAGAGAAACCCTGTCTCGAAAAAACAAAAAACAAAACAAAAAACAAAAAAACAGAGACATGAACGAGGTTAGTGCAAAGCACCCATGGGCCACTTAAAGTTGGGGTGCTGAGGAGTCGGGTCCAGAAAAATGGGGGTGGATGAGGTGGGGAAGTCAGTAAGGTGGAATACAAAAGGAAGGATTAGAAAAATGGAGGGTACACAGGTGACCAGAGACTTGGGGTACAGAGGGGCTCCAGGGTTGAGGTGCAGAAGTGGGCTACAGAGAGTTGGGGTGCTAAGAGGTAGAAGTCTGAGATGAAGTACAGAAAGATGGAGTGCCGAGTGGAAGCCAGAAAAATGGAGCAGAGACACAATTTAGAGGTCAGGGTTCAGGGATGAGATAGAGAAACAGGTTTTAGAAAGGGTTCTGAAATGTGGGGTGCAGAAATATGGAGTGCAGAGTTGGCTTGGAGACTAGAGGTGCACAGTGGTGGTCAGAAATACGGAGTGCAAAAATGAGTGCAGAGAACCGAGGTCCAGAAACAGGCTAGTGAGGAAGGGGCGCACGGAGCGCTGTCAGTCAGAGCTGAGGTAGGAGGCACACGGGTGGATTAGCGTCACGGAGTGAGAGCACTGAAGGGACAGCGCGCAGAGGGTGGGGTTCCCTAAGGAGGGACTCCAAAGGTGGGGTGCCATATATGGAGACCTAAGAGGCGAGGCGTGTGAGTGGCTCCGGAGGAGGTGTTTCTGGGCGTCCCAAATGACACCCTCCATTCAACCAGTGACAGGGACCAGGCACAGGAGCTGCCTGAGGCGTGTCCTGGACAGGACGGGAACGTGCAGCTCAATTCTTCACAGATCCAGACTCGCTCCCTTTGGGGTAAACATGCCCTACTCTGATGGAGCAGGGCAAGAGGAAGCCTGAACAACTCCTGGGATTCTCAGGGTTCTGGGAGTGGGGCACTTACAGCGATGACCTCCAGTCGCTGCCGATAGAGGGCGCTCTCCGCCATGACCCTGCGGGGGGAATGGGGAGCTGAGGGGCGTTTCCTAGGGACCCCGGCCCTCAGCAGGCGAGCTCCTAAAGGTCCTTTCCTAATTAAGAACCCTGGGCTGCCAAGAGAGAACCCAGTGCCTCTGTTTCCCCCTCTCCACCAGGGAAGAGCCTGGGAAATGACGAGTGTGGGAATGGGAGGCCACAACCATCAAGCTCAAGGAGAGTTTCACAGCATCTTTCTCAGTCTCAGCTGTGAAACGGGCAGAGACAGCATGACCCCAATCGTGCAAGAGAGCAATCTAAGCAATTTCCACACTTCATACAATTTATACTCAGCTGTAATAACTATTACAGGCTCCCACAGACTCTCAAGTTCTGCCGGCCTCCAAATATGCTGTGTGTCTCTTGCTAGTCCCACGCCTTCTCTGAACCTTAGCTCCCACCCTTAAGCACCAGCGTGTGCGGTATGAGGGAATGTGGGGGAGAGAAGTGACCATTAAACCATTACCATGGTAACTCCCAGGCTGTCTCCTTTCCACTTGTCTACCCCCTTCCTGCTGGGGGCAAGGGTCACTGGGCCATCCTGCCTAGCTGTGGACTTTGAGCTTCAGGGAGGGGGATTTGAGGTTTACGGTTTAACCTGATTTTTCCCCACTCTTGTTCTAACTGGAATGTGTCAGCATCCTGCTCCCCACCCCCAGGGGGCCCCTGGATCTTCATTTAGGGGACAGGCATTGTCAAAATAACATGGTCACTGAGCATCACAGGTGTGGGGCTGTGTTAGCCCCACTTCAGCCGAGGGGCAGAGACGGGATCTCCCAGCCTGCCTTCCTCCAGGCCAGACAGGGTGGGCACAAAGATCTTAGTGTTTATTAATTTAAATCCTAGCACATGGGGGAGAGAATCCCAGCGCCACTGTCCACATTCCAGCCAAGTCCGCTCAGATCCTCCCGCCACACCCTGAAGACATAACAGTGCTATTTATAGTGTCCTAAGTGCCCTGCAGGGCTTCCGCTGAACCACAGCCACCTCGCTCAGGCTCCACCCCCACCCCGGCTGGCTGCAGTCCACTCTCCCAGCTGACATTCCAGCTAAGAACAGACCGGGCCAACGTAGCCACAGCCACGTGCCCATGGGGCTTTGAAAAGCCCTGTCTGTAGAAACACTCTCTCTTCCCCGAGATCCCGTGCGGCAAACAGCGTGACGGTCCCATTTACCAAAGGGGAAACTGAGCCTCTCAGGGTAGCAAAAGGACTTGTCCAAGGCTGGCGACAATGGCCAGTGAGCTGATGCTCAGAACCAGCTTAAACCTGTGCTCTCAGCCCTGCTGCAGCAGGATAGCCTGGTGTATGCTGCAGCAGGGTAGCCTGGTGTATGCTGCAGCAGGGTAGCCTGGTGTATGCTGCAGCAGGATAGCCTGGTGTATGCTGCAGCAGGAACAAAAGCCTGTCTCAAGGTGAGTCAAAGACCACACAAGGTTGTCCTCTGTCCACACACACGTGCAAACATGCACACATACCCTTACTCTCACAACCTTGTACACACACACACACACACACACACACACACTCTTACACACACACTCACATAGTCAAACATGCACACACACATGCACACATACACATACTCTCACACTCTTGCACACACTCATATGCACACACATTCTTACACACATATACTCACACCAGATGCACTCACACAATGCACCCACACACACTCACAGCACAAGACTTGTCCAAAGTCGGAAGGAAAATGTGAAGCAATTCTCCCTTGGTGCTGGCAACACACAGTTTGGGGTTCAGGGCCTCCAGAGACCCACCTAGAGGTGAGGACTTCCACCGGGGCAGGGGCTGAAGGTCGCCTGTCAGGTGTCCCTGGGGGAGGGCTGAAGTCCCCTCGCAGTCCCCCTCCTAAGATGCTATCTCCCTAACTCTTCCTTGGGGGGGGGATCGGGTTCCCGTTGCTAAGCAACCAGGTTTGTACTTGGTAAATAATGCAATGGAGGGCACAGGAGAGTGAAGGACAGAATTGGGGTCCCAGGTGGAGGGAAGCCTCTTTCTGGAAGTTTCTATAACCCCTGGGAGCCCCGCTCGCTGCTAGGGATGGACCAGACGCACACGAGGCAAGAGCTGGCGACTGAACCAAGCTCTCATTTGAAAAGCCCTCAGCTAAGGCGAGCTCCCGAACCTTCCTCCACAGTGCTCATCGCCAGCTCCGGGGTCGCGCCTCAGCCACAACCTGCTTAGTCCCAAAAAGGCGCAGAGAGGTGGCCACTGCCTGGCTGCGACTTTGCCAGTCTTTGGAAGCTGGAGCGCTCGCTTCCTCCCTTCCTGGACTCCAGCATTCTCGCTCATTCTGCAAACTTGGGCGTTCGGCGGCACATTCGTGTACCCCGACATTCTCTGGCCCCTAACTTTGCAGCAGGCCCAGCTCTCTGGGGAAGTGGTTCTCAAGGAGCCCGGGCTTGGCCACTCCACGTTCTCCCCAGGCTCCCTTAGGAGAGGCCAGCTGGGGCTCCCAGGGTAGGCCGGCGCCCACCCCCCAGCCTTTCCACTCTGCCCATCCGTCCCCACCCCAGACACTTACATGGGTGTGGCTGTGGCCGGGGACAGTACCGGGGTCTGCAGGGCCATCTCTGCCCAGTAGCCCTCGCGCGCGGTGTGAGCCGAAGCTCGCAGTCTGGGCCCTGGCTGGTGGGAGGGGGCTGCGGGGCGGAGCGGGAGAGCAGGTCCGGCTGGTTTGGGCGGGAGGCGCGGCCCGGCTGGGGCTGGGGCAGTGTAGGGAGCCCTATCAACTTCTCAGGATGAATTATTTACCAGCCTCCGGCCTCCGCGCTGCACTCGGCTGCTTCCCAGTTCACACGCGCGCAGCCACGCCGGTGCTCCAGCAGGTGGGGGAGAGCGGCCAAGCACTGACCCGCGGCCGCCCGGGGACCCACGCCTGCGATGGGCACTCAGACATGAACGTTTTAGTAAAAACCCAGGGTCACTGCCTCCCTTCTAGGACCTTGGAGCAGGCGGGAGGGAGAGCTCTCTGACTCAGCTTCTGGAGACCATAGCAACCAAGAAGCCCGGGATGAGGGTCATGGTGGACAACTGGCATCAGGTTTCAAGGCCTCAGTTTGCCTCGCTGTGAAAAGGGAGAATAAATTCAAAAGGCCTGCAGATCAGAAGACCTCGTTGTATTTATACAACGTTTAGAGGTGAGGGTAGAAATGAGAAAGGACAGGGAGATGACCTCCAACTCACTCCTGAGGACGCCTTCCCTTTGAACTCTTGGGTGCTGCAATGTCAGACCAACACACTCAGACCAAGTTTGCTCCTCACCTTGTGAGAGTGGCCCTGGTCTCTTTCCCCTAGGCGTTTCAGAGGAACTCTGAGCAAAGACCCTCCCCGCCAGGCTGAGTGGTA